GCACTTATTCTCATTTAACATCATGTGGTCAGTCCTACAATACTTGTGATATGTATTTGCTTAAATAGTATTGTGGCCATTTTTTTCTGCAACTAAACTTTAAAGACTCACGTGCAATCAGTGTGAATTCTCTACCCTTGTACTGTTAATATGGTTACATACATATCATCTCCCACAATTTTCTTGTATAATCGCACTTCAATGTTAAACACCACATCCTTTTCTAGGGTAGAGCAGGGTGGTTACCCAGAGTCAGTTATCTAGGTCATCCTGACTTTATATTGTTGGATGTTTTTCAACAACAACAAAAAAGAGACAGCCATGCAGGTCTTTGTCAAGGACTGTCAATGGACTTTAGAAAAAAACAAAACAAAAACAGGAAATGACCCAATCCAGATGTTAGGGGACAGTAATATTTTGAATAAAGAGAGAGAGAGAGAGAGAGAAGAATATTGGAGGTTAAAGAGCCTGGGATTATTTTTTGAACATAACCTGTACTGTCTAATTCAAGTCACTAGCCATATGTGACTATTTAAATTTCAATTTAGGCTATTATAATTAAAATTAAATAAAATGAAAAATTCATTCCTACAGTGGCACTAGCCACACTTTAAGGGTTTCATAGTTTCCTGTAGCTAGCAGCTTCTGATCAGACACAACAAATATAGAACATTTCTATCATCCTAAGAAAGTGCTGCTAGAAGCACTGGATTAGACTATAAAACATTTGAGCAAATTTTATTCAAGAACTAGCAGTGGTAGCTGACAGAATGATACACAGCACTCCCAAAATGTTCAATTTGGAGGAGGAAGAGGAAAACAGACTATCATTCAATCCAAGATAAATAATGGAAACCACTAAATGGAAGAAATTGTCAGCCAACTTAGTAAGGTTGGAGAGAGAGCAAGCCTTTTGTGGAATGTGGGCCTAACCATTCATTTGAAACAATGCTACACATTAGTGGAAATCAAAACTTGTGAGAATACTTTGTTTGCAGCAGGGAGAAGTTTCACACTTTTTAAAAGGAGTATTACCTTCTGAAGTGTGTGTTTTAATATAAGGACCCTCCCTTTTTAATTTTGGATTGTCTGCCTGGTCTCTTTGAAACAGGTATTTACATCAAGTGTTAGCTCAAATGACAAGATGATTGAAGTTATAGACATTATCTGCATGGCTGACTATCATAGTCTGAATACTTTCCATATTTACGGAATTTCCCCATTGAAAGTCCCACTAATGTTGAAGCTGAAACTCAAAGCTCTTACTTTCTCCTGTTGCTGAGACTTGGGCAAGAGACCCAGGCTTCACCAAATCAGACATAGGCTCCATGTGGTATGTCAGTGGCTGCCATAGTGGGTGGTAAGCGAGGATGTCCAGTTTTGATAGTGGTGGCAAGACTAATGCCTGCTGTGGAAGTGGCCGTGGTGCTGGTCATTTCATCCGGTTCCTAGCATTTGATTCTTAGCGCCCGGGATGGTAACGGCAGCTCCCTAGTCACACAGTTCTGTGGTTTATTGTTTGCGATTATTCCTCAGAGCTAACCTCCAGCCTGTTTCTCTGGCTCTCCCATTTTCTGTGAGCTAGTGAATACCCTTTAATAAGTCCCTTTTCTGTTAGAACTAGCCAGAATGGATTTTGTGGTTGAGTTGAGAACTCTGATGACACAGGCAATGATGTCAACGCAAGTTTTTAACTCAGTTATCAATTTACTCAATATGTACTTATCATATGCATTCTGAGCTCAGAGGTAGGGTCTCACTGAGGTATCTGATTAGAGAATGTAGGAGTGGTGATAGTTAAGGAGAAATAAAATATAGGAAGTGAGACAGGTGTTGGACATGTTGAGATGGGGAAGATGCTCCTTTTAGACCACCCCAAATCCAATCTGTCAGTAAATCCTCACAATTGTATCTCTTACATGTCGTTCCTGTACTGCTTTTCTCCTTTCACAGACTTTCACTTATTTGAACAACAGCAAACTCCAGTTTTTGTTATTTCTAATTAAATTATTGAAATAGCCAGTTGCTACAACTAAGCCCATGTAGTTCCTCCCCCAGCATGCTGTCACCTGCCAACGCGTCTACCATTCTGAGAACCTAGAGAAATTGTCCTTCCCATTGGTCACTTGGAAAACTCCTATTTATATTTTAAAAATGTAGATCATCGTTTCTATCTCATTCTATTGTATGATAATTATGAGGTTATTTATTTGACTTACCCACCTGGCATTATTTATCCAACTAGAGGACATTATCCTGTTTATTTACTGTTATTTCTCCAGCACTGTCTCAGGGCTTGGTGTCTAACACATACACAACTAGTACTTGTTGAATGAACAAATGACTTGTAATTGTTTATTTATGTTTCTCTCCTTGTTCAGTCTATAAACTTCTTCACAATAGTACAATGTTGGTGTATAATAGAAACTCAATAATCACATCATATATACTAATGGAATGCCTGCATGTTATCTGCTGTAATAGCTGGTGGCAATCAAAATTATTATCTAATTCTCAGACAGAAGCTAGGGCTGTAAGTTTGGGCTTTGGGATCATCAGGCAGTGGCTTCTGGTAGGCCTGTAAAATCTTCTCAGATCAATGACTATTGGGAGTATAAGTAACCTACAGCCTCAGCTGCTGTACTTTGCAATCCTTTCCTTGCTTACAAATGGAGCCAACCTTCCCAAGGGTTACCCCCAGACAATGCGTTGGTGTAGAAGGTATGCTAGAGAAGGCCCATTGCTGAGAGACGGGGAACTTCTATGGTAAGAGACTTTGGCATAAGAACTCTCTGGGAACCTTGGTGAACAATCCTTAGAACATCACCACAGTTAATCCTTCCTTTTCTCCTCCACTTGGGGTCAGAATGGCACTGCAACCTGTTGGGCCTCCCAGCCTTTGCAAGCTTCTTTCCCATTTTCTCTCATAGGCATTTCTCTACATAAATTTCTTGAACATACAGTCTTGTCCTGGCTTCTGCTTCTCAGGGAATGTAGACTAACACATTGGCGAAGCCATAGAAGTAGATTGTCATTTAAGGAGAGTCATGGAATGAGAAGAGGTAAGAACTAGAAAGACACGCTTACGGGCCATTAATACTTGTGGGGTGGGAAAGAGAGTACCATGCAGATCCCTTAAGAAGAGTGATAAGTAGGCAGTCCATCAACATGAGATGTTCCAGAACAGGCCAGCACTGAGTACTTTATTCCAGAGATTAGGCACAGCAAAAGTTAAATATTTACAAGGAAAAGCAAGAAATGTTCTAAAATTAGAATGGTGATAAAAAAGAGAACAGCTGAGGTCAAGAATTATTTGTCTTTTTAGAAATTTAATACTTAAAGACAAGATAAATAATTAAAATAAAAGGAATAGTAAAAGTATATGTTTACCTATTTAAATTCATAGAAATCAACATTTTAAAAACTGATTTGCAATAATAATAATAATAACAATAATAATAATACTGACCTGAAAGTAGAAGAGTAGAACTACTAGGGGTAAAGAAGGGGAAAGAAGGAGAGGAGAGAAAGGGGAGGACAAGACAGTGTAGAAGAGAAGTTGGACATGGTCAAAGCATAGTATATACACATATGGAAATATCACAGTGAAACTCAGGAATCTGTACAATTAAGATGCATTGATAAGAATAAAAAATAAAAACCCAATTTGCATCTAGGGAAGTATACCTCTGAACTTCACATTACTACCTCCTCTGTTTTCTATTTGTCTTTTTCTTATTATCCCCTGTGATATCATTTGGTGGACAATATGCCAGACAGAAGTAGTAAGGGAGTATAGTCAGATGAATAAATGCTTCCCCTAATCGTGGGAACCAATGTAGAAATAGTTAACTCAAAAGAGATGCTATGAAAAGTGGGTAAGAACAGGACCACTGTAAATCACTTTAAGGGAGAAAGGCTTTGAGTAGGAGCTTCCTTTTGGGAGGGGGTGAATAGTGGGTGTAGCTCAGTGGTAAAGCGCTTCCCTAATGTACTCGAGGCCCTGAGTTCAATTCCCAGTACTACAAACTTAGAAAGAGAGAGAGACAGAGCTAGAGAGGGAGAGAGACAGAGAGCACAAGAGCATGAGCACGAATGAGAGGGATTTGCCAAAGACCCAGAGGGTAAGCTCCGTGTGGGCAGAGCTTCCTGTTTGCTATTTTCAATGCTGGAGACTCAGTGACAAAAAGAATACATGTCACTTGGGAGGCATTCAGTAAATTATATTTTTCATACCAATAGGCCCATTACTTTGTGCATAATATGCCAAGATTATATAATTGTAGGGGTGGTAGCTTCAAGCTCTCTTCAATGCTGCTAAACATGAATAAAAGTGTCAATTTTGTAAACATCACTCATTGTTCTCATTTTATAATCTCTAACATAATATGATTATAAATGACATTCTAAATGGATCTGACTATGAAGAAGGAATGCACTAATCATACCAACTCAAGAAAATCGGTCCATGTGATATTTATGTTTCATAGGCAAATTAATGTATTGACATTCTGGTTTTACACATTGAACTCTTATATGAGTTTAGTCTTCAGAAACTGATCTACACTTTGTTTTTGAAATTATGCACAGGCCAGCTATGTTAGTCAATTTTCTGTTACTATAATAAATATTTGAGATAATCTACTTATAAAGAGAAATGTTTTATTTGGGGTCATTGTTTTGGAGGGTCCAGTCCACGACTGATCAGCTCTGTTGTTTTGGGATTGCAGTGAGGCAGCACATCATGGCAGAACTTGCTAGAACAGAAACAATCTCTCACCTCATGGTCAGAATGCAAAAGAGAGGAAGAGGAAGGGGCCAGGATCACACTATCCCCTTTGAGGGTACTCCCACAATGACTCCTAATAGAGCCGTGTGGGCTTGGGACTAAGCCTTTAACATGTGGACCTTTGGTAGACTCTTACCCAAACCATAGCATCCACATAGCCTTATTTGAAATGTTGATGCCACTTTCTCACCGTGTTCTTTTTTCCTTCTAGTAGGTTGTATCAGCTTGTATGGCACCATCCCAAGGATGCAAGAGTGGAAACTGCAATACTTCTTCAGATCTAAGTTGCAAAACTTGCACATCATTGCTGATACAGTTTATTATTCAAAGCAAATTACAAGGTCATCCCAGACTAAAGGAGTGGAGAAAAAGACTCTACCATCTGACGAGAGAAATTACACAATCATGTGGCAGTACTTTCTAGTTGCTATAGCCTACCCTGTGGCCACAGTTATTTACATTCTTTCTGCATGTAAAATATGCTCACTCTTCCCTAAAAGGCCTCATCCCATTCTGACTCAGTCTCAAAATTTTAAAATATTATCATCTAAATGTAGATTACATGTAGATGAGGATCCCTGGTCGAACTCTTGGGTATGAATCCTGTTCCAGAGATTTGTGAATTAAAAAAACCAAGCTATCTACACTTCACAACCCAAATAGAAAATTGCAGTGATGCTCCGATTCACAAGGCAGAGAAACAGGAAACACAGAGCAATAACTAGAATATAGGAATTCTGAAGTCTAGCCAGGTACACTGACAGTTCCCTGTGTTTCAGGACAGATACATCCCTTGATTAGAGCACACTCTGCTTTCTGAATGGTCCCCTAGCCCAGTATTCTTCATCATTTCATGCATTGATCCATTGAGAAGTCTGTGAATTCCACCTCCTTAATATTTCTTAAAAGAATGAAATTATGTCATTTGCTGGTAAATGGATGGAAATGGAGAATATCTTGCTAAGTGAAATAAGCCACACTTAGAAAGACAAGAGTCAAATATTTTCTTTCTCTCTCTCTCTCTCTCTCTCTCTCTCTTTCTCTTCAGAAAAAATAAAGGTTGTGGGGGGAATCTCACAATAATAGAAAATAATAGAAGGGAAAACAATAGCATAGAGGAAGGGGATGCGGGGAAGAGTGAGAGTGAGCAAGACAGGAAGGAGGGGAGGGCATAGGGAGTACTTGTGTTAGAAATCTACCAAATTATGCTATGACCATGTATGAATATATCACAATGTACATATATATAATTATAATGCACTAATAAAAATAATAATAATAATAGGAGAGAGATCAGTAGAGTAGAAAAGGTGGATCAGAGGAAGGGAGGAAGGGGGAAAAGGAAGGTACTGGGGAATGAGATTGATCAAATTATGTTAAGTGCATGTGTGAATATGGCATAATGGATTCTGCTATTATTTGTTATTACAATGTACCAATAAAAACCCTTCCAATCTATTAATAATGCCACTACTTTGAGGCCTTTATGATTTATTTTGCCTTTACAATTGAAATGATTTCCCTGCCAACTGTTTCTTTCTTTAGTGCACCAGAAAGTTCTTTGGAAACACAAATCTGATAATGTATTTTCATTGCTTAAGATTTTTCCAGTGGTTCTGGTAGCGTTCTTTTTCTTAATGTAGGTGTTGATTACACAGCTGTGTTTGCTTTGTGAAAATTTATTGAGCTGTAAACATATGAATTATGTACTTTCTGCATATATGACTTAAATGAAAAGGTTATATTTAATAATCCTCCCATAGTTTCCCATTGTATCCAGGATAGAGTCAAAACTCTTAGCACAATACATAAAGCCTGTCAGGACTCCTATGTTTCCAAATTCCTGTTATTGCCCCTAACTTCCCATGGATAATACCTTGTCTTCTGCAAATAAACTATTTTTTTTTGTGGACTATTTTTGCTATTTTTTTTTTTCTGGACTACCTTTGCTTTGCCCGGAAAGCCTTTTCATCATTGTTCGTCTTTTTTAACTATTATTCCTTCTTTTAAGAAAAAACCTGTGACATCTTTGGCACAACTTTTAATTCCCATAAGGCATTTTTTTCCCCTTGTATGTCCAAAGCACACTGCGCATACCTCTAACACAACACTGTTAGATTTATGTACCTACTGGGTTTATTTCTGACTCTTCTGTAAGATGGCAAATTCCTCCATGATCTATAACATGTCATATATGTCTTTCCCTATTATATAACACTGTGTTGGGCATATTAGTACAGTCAGGTGCTACATAATGGCATTTTGGTCAATGATGGCCCATGTATTTATAGGGTGGTGGTCCCATAAGATTATATGGCTTAGTGATGGTACAGACCCCTTACTTTGTGTTAACTGTACTCTATGATGTTCTCATAAGGACAAAACCCTCTAACAATGAATTTCTCAGAATGTATTCCCACCATTAAGCACTGCATGACTGTATTGCTATGGACTGACTGCTTACATATCCCTAAAATTCCTATGTTGAAGTTCTTATCTCCAAAGTTTTAGGAAGGGGGCCTTTAGGAAGTGACTAGGTGATAAGGGAAATATTCAGGAATATGATTAGTGTCTTTATAAAAGAGACTCCAGAGAGCTCCCTTACACTTTCTGCCATGCAAGGTTAACATAAAAAGATAGCCATCTACAAACCAGGAAGTGGGTTTCCACTGGATACCAAATCCACCAGCACTTTGGTCTTGGACTTCATAAGCTTCTAGAACTATGAGAATAATTTTTTTATTTATGAGTTACCTGTTATATGATATTCTGTCATAACAGCCTTTACAGACAGACAAGACAAGGACATAGCCTATAAACATGCTTTTAATATATGAACAAGGGACAAGGATTGAGGAAAGGTAACCTATGAGCAATGCTTTTGAAAAAACAATATAATTGAACAAATAAAATATGAATACATGGCAATTAAATGAAAATAGTTTGCAAAAAAATAAATGAGTCACAAGTAAGAGTTTGTTAAATGCTAAATGGAAAGAATGTATAAGGCAGGGGGTGTAGTGTGGCAGTACAGCACTTGCCTAGCATGCAAAGGCCCTGAGTTTGATCTTCAACACTGAAAAAAATAAAAACGAAAAGAATGGATTATGGATCATAAGTGAGGTAGGAGTCAGGAGAGAAGCGATGAGGTCATGGAACAATAGGGACTTGGCTCCTGGATCTGAAAAGTTATCTGGCATTTCCAGAGCTGGAAAGAAAGAAGCAATATATTCCCGTAATGAAGACAATATAAGAAAAATAAATAAAATATCTTAGAAGCAATTGTGAACTGTTTGTGGACATTAAACAGAATAATCCTGCTATATTCTATTCTGTTTTACTATGGAAGAAAACTGATAAAACGGGAAGTCCAGATAAGGAAAGGAAGTTTATAGAGAAGGTGGTAAGCTACATTTTGTACATGTTGAGTGTGAGGCTCTTGCAAAATACCAAACAGAGCTGTTTGGGAAGTAGCTAGAAATTTGGCCTGCATTTCAAAAGAGAAGCAAGATATACCAATTTGCTAGCCTGCAGTATGTGAGCCATGAAACTGACCTGAAAGAGAATATACTGAGAGAAGGGAAGGTTAGCAATGGGACTCTAGGGAAAATCTTTATTTAAGGAATAGAGAGAATAAGGCATGAGAAAACAAGAAAACTGACAGGTGTCCAAAAAGTCGAATGGAACTCAGGAGACTGGAGAATCTCAGGAGCCAAGAGGACGAAAGACTTTTGAGAATCAGGAGGTTGTTGGCAGTGCTAAATGTATCAGAGATGCTAAGAAGGCTAAGAATTGTACTGAGGTTACTGGATTCGGTTTTTAGGAGTTAAATGATGATCTTCAAGACTGCTGTTTCAGTAAAATGCTCAAGACTGCAACCAGCATAGAGGGTCAAGAAGACAGGAAGGGAGTCAGAGCTTGCTCAAGAGGAGTGGTGTGGGTGAGGGACAGGCAGAAGGCCTAGCAGAGCTTGAGAGGTCAGAGGGCAAAAGAAGGCCTTTGTTCTCAGAGGAAGTTGTTGACCATGTTGTAGGTAGACAGGAAGAAGTAGGTTTTTGTTTTTCCCAGAAAGAGGCAGATGATGCCAGAGAGGGAGAGAGGATAATTGATTAATAATCAAGATCCCAGAACAGATATAAAGGCAAAGAAAGAATCCAGGTGATGAGAAAAGCATGAATGAAGGAAGAATGTCTAAAGAGTCTGTGAAATTTTGAGATTTTTTAAGAATGGAAGTAGGGAAAACCACATTGGAAGGCTTCAATCTTCTTAGCCAAGTAGGGAGTGAAGTGATCTGCTGCAAATGGATAGTATGGAAACGGAGACCAAGGATTCCGGGGGGGGAGGGGGGTGAGATAAGGATTCAAGTAAAGATGGATACAAAGCTTATCACCCAGATGCAAACAAGATAATGCAATCTATGAACAGACAGGTAAATGCATTGTGTATGTATGTATAGATGTCTGTGTTTTAGAGACATAGTTGTTTTGTGTGTGCCTCAGTAATTAATACATCTTTATCACAGAATCCTATCACTCGAAAGCAAAGATTGCTAGGAGATATTGTGAGGGATAAATCCAGAGGAACTGGTTCCAGCTGGATACTTACATGTGAGCTGATCATCTCCTGGGTCAAGTGCAAGTGGCAGGAAGAATACATACATGTCCTTTTGCCAGCAGCACAACACTCAAGAGGGACATCAGAGTTTGGAAAGATGATGTGTATAGTTTTAGGTATTAGATTTGACATAGAAAATTGTAAAGTTAAGGAAATAAATTCTCACAGCCTTATTTTTTTTAGGTCTTTGATAGTGGATTAAGATTAGAGGAGGCTAGAGGTCATAGTGATGAGGGAACTAACCCTGGTTGGAGAGGAAGGAAGGGACAGGCAAGTACTGAGACCCAAGCTAAGGGGGCAAAGACTTTAACCATATTCAGCAGGACAAGGAAGTCAGGAGGAAAGAGATCAAGGAATTCACCAGTTGTGTGATTGGCTGGAAAACTGTCCATTGAATTTTTAAATAATGGCCTTGTTTCTACAACTAGCTATAAGATAGATCATTCCACAGTTTCACAAGTTATTGCTCAGGTTTTTCCATGGAGCTTTCATTACAAAAAAGCAAGACTTTTCCTGCCCCTTGCCCCAGCAGTAAGGAGAAGAGTTTCTACAGGAGTCAAAATTTTTCAAAATAAAACTTCAATTAGTTTTAAAAGGCTTTGTAACATGTGCCATTACTTTCATTGTTTTAGTTTGCCACATTGGGTTTATTTCATCATTTTTCATTGAATAATTTCTGTAGGCTTCTGGGACAAGATGATATTCCTTCCCAAACACTGCTTCCTGCCAATATATATAGAAGCAATATTTTTGAGTGTAATATTCTCTGAAACTATCTTGGCATTTTTGCTGAGAGGCAGATTCAACTGAAGAGAGGCTGACCAACATCCCAGGAGACCAATATCCTTGAATGAGTTGTGTCTAAGTCTTGGATTTTTTAATTTTGAACTCTATTTTTTTTTCATGGAGACTCTTAATTTTCTTGCTATCAAGGAGCAAAACAATCTACTAAGAGAACTAATTATAGCAACTTTTATGTATAAATTAAATGTCCCTAAGGTCATTATTAGATTATATTTTCAAAGGATGCTTTCCTTGGCGTTGTCTAAGACTGAGTGATAATAAGCAACACCATTATAAAATACCTTATTTGAGTTATATTTACAAAATAATACAGGCAAATAGACAAGGATTCTTCAAAATACAACCAAAATATGTAATAATCATAGCTGTTAGCTATGATTAGCAGTATACCACCAAGTATGAAAGCAACATTTTAGTATTTTGTTCCACACATTAATACTGCTAAAATTAAATACCCTATAAGTCCTATCTCACATTATTCTTATAACCACTTAGAGACAGCTTTCTTTCTCTGAAATATTTTTTCTGCCTTTCAGTCATGCATACAGAAAATTATTCTGCATCTCATCCAAGCTTAAAAAAATCCCAGTTTTTAAGTACATGCTAAAATGGTGCCAAGAGAAAACTCAAAATAGAAGCCTCAGGACAGAGACAGATCATTTTGTTCAGTGTGTTTTAATGGAGTACTAGAGGTTAACATGAACCAAATTGATTATCCAGGCTATTATTTAAAATTCCCAGTTGAAACTTTCAACATATGGGTAAAAGAGTAAGGAGTAGACAATACCTGCAGGAAGTTTTCTCCTGGATCCACACCTGCTAGAGATCTCCAAACATGTCATCAGGCAGCATTGCTAGGTATTGTTGACTTAAATTTATTCATTTAAAAAATACATACTTGGTTTTGGCTGCACTTAGCAAACAAAAAATAGTAGAGATGCTACTATGTGCATGGTTAAAATGTAGCTGGAAGCTCAGACACAAGATCTGAGTTTGTTTCATGAAACACCAGGAGTGGAGGTTTGTGGGTGTTGGAGGGAGTGGAGGTTTGGGGTGCTGGAGGAAGACTGATGTAGGCACACGGAGCATGCTGTTGATGAAATCATGCCAAGGACTGTCCTGTGCAAGTACAGCTTGTAAGCAGCTGCTGTCACCACTGAGTAATCCTGATCAGCCCAGACCCCAAACCAAACTACCTACCTCTGCTGGGATGAAAGAATCACAGAGTGTTTATCAAACATCAAGAAGACATTTAAATATTTATCCAAAAACAATTGTAAGCATGCAGTCTCAAGGAATCTGAAAGCTAAGACTATTCTTTAATCTTTTTTCCAGTAATGGTAGAGTAGGGTAGATATTTTTAACACACTGGTAATAAACTATTGGTTGTTGGGTAATTCTATCTATCTGTGAGTTAAGATAGAAAGTTTGAAGTTGAATTGCTTTGTTCTTACAGTGTTGAAACTCACATCTTTGAAGGATATATTTCC